CTCTCACATTATATATGCATACAATTCTTTTCCTCCTCCCACCCAATAAATTATAAGCTTCATGAAGATAGGGACAGGGTCTTTTTTTATCAGTTCCGTATTCCTTTCCCTGGAACAGTGCCCAACACATAGTAGACATTCAATAAATATTTGTTTAATGAATAAAGGGATGAACTCATTTTTTATTTCAGTCTCCCACAGTCAGCAGTATCCTAGGCAGCCAACTTTTAATGCTGGAAGGGGCCCAGCAGACAACTATGAAATACCATAAATGAATTCCTCAGGGCAGTTGTGTGATTCCACTGTGTGTGAACACTCAAACAGTCTGACTAGACGGCAGTGGGTCACGACCCCTCCTTGGAAATCCTCCTGAGCGGTTCCCTTGTGGTGGTTCCAAGAGGAAGAGAGGGTCAGGAGTTGCCCTTATCCCTGAGAGGAAGCCTGTACATTGTGCGCATTCTCTGCTTGTTTTAGGAGCTGTCATATTAAATCCAAGAGGCCTTAACTCTGTGGGAGTTTTCTTCCTTCTCAGGCAGCCTCTGACTCAGCATTCTGTCCGGAGTCCCCTTTTACCTTTTCATGGCTTTCCCTGATGAATAGTTGAGCAAATAGAAAAGCACTGATCCTTCACAATGAAATAGTAAAACTTATAAGCCCAGCCTTGGCTGACTCTTTTTTAATATTTATTTCATGTTTGTTTAGTTTGGGGAAGGTGTGGGGGCACAGGGTAGCAGGTATTCTATATGAAGCTTTGTAGCCTCTTTTAAACGTAGAGCATGAAATGATGATACGTTGAGTAATAAACATGTTATATATCATATATATATAAAATTATTAATGGACAGTTCTTTTATGTTCTGTCCCCCTCATCCATGTCTTAATTTGGGTTCAAGTTTCAGGTTTAAGCAGTTTATTTGGAAATGCAGGAAATAGTAGAAGAGTGGAGAAGTGAGATAGGGAAAGGAAGGGTGATTTCGTGAGCCAACTACAACAGCAGGTGATGGAAGTTTGACCCTGAGGGGAAAGGGTATAGAACACACACTTCAGAGTTATTCCACTGGGGACAAGGCAGCTGGGATGTTGATATAGCAGCTCACTTCAGTCTTTGGTTGGGCCTGCTTCCGAGGGGTGTTCGTTCCTTAAAGCAGCCTGCAGCCTCCTAGGCTTTGCAGAAGCTGCCCAGCAAAGAGATATGGATACTGGCCATTGGAGATCAGGTCAAACATGCAAATAGGAGCAGGGAATCAAGGAGTGAGCTACGCCTTGCTTCCCGTTTCTGTTAAAACAGTAGACTACATGAGCTCCATAGCTGCATCTTTGCCCGTTCCTTTCACCTTTTTCATCACATCTTTACCCGGGACTAGCACAGTCTCAAATCTGTCTTGCCTTGCCTCTTTTGTGAATCACCAGGCACCTTATTTCTCATAGTGGTGCCTAGTGATTTCTACTTCATGGCATGGTAGTTGTGTACCTACTCGTATATTTTCTACTAGATTTAAGCTCCTTGGGAGCCCAGATATTACCTTACATATCTTTGTAAGCACCAGAGTGCTCGGTTGGTCTATAATGGATTAATCTTTCCCCCTAACTAGTAGGTGGTTTTCCCAAACAAGCTGTGAGAAGAAAGCCCAACTTCCTAACTTCAACCAGGATAGTGGTTACTGTGGGACCATAAACTACGGGAGTTATGGCATGGACCCTAAAGTCAGGGCAATGAGGATTTGTCTTTCCCTTTTTAAGTGTACAATTTCATGGTATTAAGTACATTCACATTGTTGGGTAACCATCCCCACCCATCTCCAGAAGTTTTTCAGCTTGCAAAACTGAAACTCTGTCCCCATTAAACACTAACTTGCCTCCTTCCCCTACCCCTACCCCTTGGCAGCCACCATTCTACTTTCTGTCTCTATAAATTTGATTACTCTAGGAACCTCATAAGTGGAATCATACAGTATTTGTCTTTTTGTGATTGGCTTATTTAACTTAGCATAATGTTCAAGGTTCATCCATGTTGTAGTGTGTGTTAGAATTTTCTTTCTTTTTAAGGCCGAATAATATTCTATTTTCTGCCTATAGCACATTTTGTTTATATGTTTATCTGTTGATGGACACTTGGGTTGCTTCCACCTTTTGGCTATTGTGAAAAATGCTTCTATGAACATAGGTGTACAAATATGTCTTAGAGATCCTGCATTCAGTTCTTCAAATATATACCCGGAAGTGGAATTGATGGATTATACGGTAATTTTTTTTTTTAAGATTTTATTTTTCCTTTTTCTCCCCAAAGCCCCCCAGGTACATAGTTATATATTTTTAGTTGTGGGTCCTTCTAGTTGTGGCATGTGGGATGCCACCTCAACATGGCCTGATGAGCGGTGCCATGTCTGCACCCAGGATCCGAACTGGCGAAACCCTGGGCTGCCAAAGTGGAGTGCGTGAACTTAACCACTTGGCCACAGGGCCAGCCCCAATGGTAATTTTATTTTTAATTTTTTGAAGAACGGTTTTCTGATTTTTTGATAGTAGCCATCCTGATGATGAGTGTGAGGTGGTATCTCATTGTGGTTTTGATATGCATTTCTCTAATGATTAGTAATGTTGAGCATCTTTTCATGTGCTTACTGGCCATTTGTATATGGCCATTGTATATTTCTTCTTTGGAGAAATGTCTATTCAAGTCCTTTGCCTATTTATTTAATTGAGTTGTTTGGGTTTTTTGTTGTTGTTAAGGAAACTTTTTAATTGAAGTGTAACAGGATTAGTCTTTGAGTTTCCTTGCCTTGAGCATATTTGTGTGGTAACTTGTCAAGTAACCATGGGCCAGCAGTTTAGGGACTTTCAGCTCTGATCTGCCTTCCACCATTCCTTCACATAGTAATCATAGAATCTTAGAATTAAATGAGCCTCAGAAATTGTCTTAATCCGTCCTGGCTGCTATAACAAAATACCACAGACTGGGTGGCTTATGAACAACAATAATTTCTTTCTTCCAGTTCTGGAGGCTGGAAGTTTAAGATCATGGTGACAGCCTGGTTGGGTTCTGGTGAAGCCCTCTTCTGGGTTGCGGACTGCCAATTTCTCACTGTTTTCCTCACATGGTGGAAAGGGGCTAGTGAGCTTTATTGGGGTCTGTTTTATAAGAGTGCTAATCCCATTCATGAGGGCTGCACTTTTATGACCTAATCACCTCCCATAGGCCCCACCTTCTGATACCATCACATTGGGCATTAGGATTTCAATGTGTGAATTTGGGGGAGACAAAACATTTGCAGAGAGCAACCAGATGAGGAAACTGAACCCACTTCTTTTTCCATTATGCCCTGGGCCAAATCACCTAGCCCCTGTGGATAGCATTTTCTTTATCTTTAAATACGCCTTTCTTTGCCTCCTTTCTCAAGTTTCTACAAGTCTTTTAAAGACTAGTAAATTGAGTTTTAATGATGCAGAGTATTTAGAAAGTATTTGTCAGGCAAGAGGTTGTGTATATGTTGGACGTACACTTTTTGGAGTTGTTCACAGTGTCATTTTTAAGTGAGAAGTTTTCTTTAGAAAATTGTAGGCCTTTCTTTTTCTGTGGAAATAAGCAGATGGGGCCAAAAGGCAGGAAGTAATGCTGACCTCAACTTAAAGTAAAACACTTTTGTTAATCTTTGAAAGTAAAGGAGCTCTAAGAATTGGTCACTGCTTGCTGTTAGATAATGTTAGACAATGCTTTTATGAGTCCTAATTAGAACAGATCCGGCTTAGTGTCCTATCTTTTTGAGATCAAATAGTATGAAGCTGCCACGTAAAAGGGGATTGTTTATGCCCCTGGCACTAACTTGGGGGTGGGTTGGCAATGGCTTCCTGCTCAAAGATGTCAGCTGATGGCAGGAAAGTTCAGGATTCTTGGCCTTGCATAAAAGATTTCTGGGGAGCTTCTACAATTTTTTTAGCATTAAATTTTTTTTTGAAAAATTGTGGTAAAATATACGTAACATAAAACTTGCCATTATTACCAGTTTTTTTAAGTGTCCAGTTCTTTGGCATTAAGTACATTCGCATTGTTGTGTAATCATCACTACCATCCATCTTCAGACTTTTTCATCTTCCCAAATTAAAAGTCCATACCCATTAGACAGGAGCTCCCCATTCTTCTCTCCACTCAGTTCTTGGCAACTACCATTCTACTTTCTGTCTCTCTGAATTTGACTACTGTAGTACCTCATATTAGTAGAATCATACAACATTTGTCTTTTTTTGTGTGACTGGCTTATTTCACTTAGCATACTGTCTTCAACATTCACCCGTTTTGTAGCATGTGTCAGAATTTCCTTAATATTCCATTTTATGTGTACACCACATTTTGTTTATTTATCCATTGATGGACATTTGGGTTGTTTCCACCTTTTGGCTATTGTGAGCATTCTTTTATGAACATTGGTGTACAGATATCTTGAGTCCCTGCTTCCAATTCTTTGATATATACCTAGGAATGGAATTGCTGGGTCATATGGTAGTTCTTTTAACTTTTTGAGGAACCTGCACTTTATGTTCACAGTGGCTGCACGATTTTATGTTCCCACTAGAAATACACGAGGGTTCGATTTTCCCACATCCTTGCCAACACTTGTTTTCTGGTTTTTTTGGGTAATATCCATCCTAATGGGTGTGAAGTGGTATCTCATTGTGGTTTTGATTTTTATTTCCCTAATGATTAGTGATGTTGAGCATCTTTTCGTGTGTTTATTGGCCATTTGTATATTTTCTTTGGAGAAATGTCTGTTCAAGTCCTTTGCCCATTTTTGAATTGTGTTGTTTGTTGCTGAGTTTTAGCCAACAAGCCTTTTGCTTTGGAGATACTTTTAAGGAGCTGTTTGCTGTGTGGTCCCTTATGAATATGCATCAATTTCTCTTGTTTATTTAAAAAAAAATCTTTCTCGTATGGATAGATAGGGAGATAAATATATTATCAAGTAATGAATATATAAATAATAAATATATATTTTTTGTCCCAACAGTATATCCTTTCAGGCTCTGATGACTTCAACCTGTACATGTGGAGAATTCCTGCAGATCCAGAAGCAGGTGAGAATATCCCTGGTATGAACCTGCTGTTCCTGTTGGCTATATGACTTTGGCATGCCGTGCCCTGAAAGGACAGATCTGTAGCAATAGAGGAAGATATTTCTCTTTTAACATCATAAGAAGTTTATCAAAAAAAATGACCAAAGCAAATTTTAAAATAAAAATTAGAAACCAGGGGCCGGCCCCATGGCCGAGTGGTTAAGTTCGCCCACACTGCTTCAGTGGCCCAGTGTTTCGCCTGTTCAGATCCTGGGCGCGGACATGGCACTGCTCATCAGGCCATGCTGGGGAGGCGTTCCCAGATGCCACAACTAGAAGGACCCACAGCTAAAAATGCACAACTACGTACCGAGGGGCTTTCGGGAGAAAAAGGAAAAATAAAATCTTTTAACAACGACAGCAACAAAAAAAATTAGAAGCCAGATTTAACTGTAACCTTCATCCGTAGCCTTATCTGACATAACGATGCTCAGATTTTTTCCTCCTAAGTACTTTCTGTAGACTTTATAGATCTGCTTTATGTCCATTTTCTTCTCTCCTATTTCATACCTGGAATATTTTTATCTTGCTTTTACATGCTTTTCCCTTATTATCCATCTGCACATTCCTGCTTATTACTCTACAAATAGTTGTTAGGGCCTCTTCCTTTACTTTGGCCTTCCTGGTGGTGTTAACTAAAGGGAAACTTTCTTTGTTGACAGGTACACTCCCTGGGGTTTGGCTGACCCCAGATGTCCATAAGTTAGGAAGAAATGTTCCTGCGTTTGCTCTAGATGTGTTTGGAAAAAAGCCTGCAGCTTTCCATAAATTTGGATCTAGGCCATCTGAGCTTTCAAACAGCATGGCTCATCCTTCGTTCTTGATAATAGTGTCCTCACATGCTCAGTTGAGTGTTAAACTGGTTACTTCCTGCTGGTAGAAAAATGTCTATTTTTTATTCTCAGGACAGCTCAATATAGCCATCTGCTCTGGGTGAACATGGCATCAAAATGGAAAATGGCGTTAGAAAAGTGACAGAGGACTATGCCAAGTGTATTACACAAATTGTGTCTAGTGCTTGGAGTTAGGGAAGTTGTTGGCTTGCCTGTTCCTAAGTTAACAATACTGTTACCAAACATGTGCCTTTCAAAACTTGTTGAGGCCCACTTTTGGCGTAATTATCCTATTGCTGTGGTCTGGTTACTGAACAAGTTGCAAAAGGCCTTTTTCCCCTTCTGGAATTTGGAAAGCGTGAGTGAAGCAGCTTACCCTTGAAGCACAACCAGCTGGGACAGCAGCAGTCTCCCTGAACCAACAGCGATGTGCCGGCACTAGAGGGAGTTGTGTGTTAAGTCTCCCACCCGCGTGAGTCCTAGATTGATAGCTAAAAAATGATCTTTGGACTTAATTGTATCTTTTGCCTGATCTTGAAAAGTTTTTAATTGTTAAGTCAATGTGACTTTTAAAATAGAAAGTGGATAATCCCCCTTCCCCCAGGACTCTTCTCTGGAATCTTTTTCATGTTTGTGTAGAGAGAGAAGGGGGAGGAATTAGCAGTAGTAGTGTACATTTTTTCCTCTCCCTGCTGATTTCTGTATTCACTTAGGGTATGGGCCACTGTTAGGCTGACTGTACGAGTAGATGCTTATATAATGGGCTGGGAGCAACCTGATAACTGATTGAGGGTTCCACTATTAAAACTGGGAAATGGATAGCCAGACTTTCCAAGAATTGTATAGGTACAGCTGGTTTAAAGGAATCCATTTCTAGATTCTCAAATTCCATGAGTGTTCTTTCATAAAATCGGTATTCCTAAGAAGGTTCCCATTCTCCTTTCCCACCTCCCCTTTTTCCTTTATCCTTCTTCCACTTTACAAAAAAAATCAGAAAACCAAAAGTACTCTATAAGTTTCTGACCGTTTGAACCTTAGCGTGGTGCATTGCCCTGAGGAGTAAAATCCTTCAGGGTGCCAAAAAAGTCTGAAGCTCCTGTAATCATAGTGGTATAACCTGACCCCCCCCCTCATCTTGTTATGCACTTACAATAAATAGCTTCTTTTTATATTTAAGAGGTTGTTATAAAACATTAGAAGTATATTTTTTTCTGGGCTGTTTCCTCCATTACAGCCAGACCATTCCCCGGACAATTGGTCCAGCCTTGCCTATCAGTGCCCCTCAGTTGTGTTCCAGTAATGCTTGTAATGGTAACTCCAATCAAACACAAAAATTTTTAACACTTAGAGCCTTATGGTCACAGTAAAAAAGGAAAATTTTAAATTTGTATTTATATTTTTGTTGGTGAAACTATGATAGAATTTTCATAAAAATATATTAGGTTGAAATTTTGGGGAGATAGGTGAACTGGAAATATTATTTCAAGGGGAAAAAGGAATGATGTAAAATTTCTATTACAAAAGAAACTTGTTAGACTTCAGATTCCAAATAAGATGCAGTAGGTAGCTCCCACTGCAATAACAACAAAAATCAAATTACAAAAGCTGTATTTTTAAAGATGTCAGAGAGCTGTGGCAACAAAGTGTGCTAGAACTAAAGTTCTGGAGAAGGAAGAGCCCTTCCTAGCTGAGCAAAAGACACTGGCCACTTTCTTTCCTAGGGCCATGTGTGCACAGGCTGCAGATCAGGCAGCTGTGGACAGACTCTGCTAGGGTCAAAATAAATCAGTTTTCAATGGCCACGTGTGTTAGTATGACAGATTGGAATCTAGACATACCCCAAACCATGGCCAGTCTTCCTATAGGACATTTGCTGAGTGCTGGGGTTGCACTGGGAAAGGCAGAATGAAATTCTCACAGTAATACAGTGCTTAGGAGATAAGGTCCCTTTCATGGAATGCTCCGCAGGGCATTTGCCAGATTTTGAACCTGCATGGGAAAGGAAGATAAAGAGCTAAGCTCAAAACCTCCAAAGGACAGAACTTTCAGAGCAGAGAACAGAGACTTGCCAGACTCTCCATCAAAAGCCCAAGAGGGCCACACTCGAGGATGGGCTGAACCCCAGAAAGACTGAGTGAAATATCCTGCGATTTCCTGGTACTTAGGACACAAACTCCTATTAGAGGAAGACACCTGCAACAAGCACGTTACAGGTCTTGCCTTTGAGACATTTGAAACCAGCAGACTTATTCCAACTAAAGCAGCAACACAGCCCTGATCTAGTTCCTCCTGATTGGATTGCGAGTGATCAGCCCCTTACCTCATTTTCTCAAGAGTGGAATTGGAAATGCCAGATGGAGGAAATCTGCTTTAGTCTCTGTATTAGTCTGCTAGGGCTGCCATAACAAAATCCCACAGACTGGGTGATTTAAACAGCAGAAATACATTTTCTCACCTTTCTGGAGGCAAGAAGTCCAAGATCAAGGTGCTGGCAAGTTTGATTGCTCCTGCGGCCTCTTTCCTTGCCTTGCAGATGACTGCCTTCTCATTACATTCTCATATGGCCTTTTCTCTCTGCACATGCATCCCTGCTGTCCCTTCCTCTTCTTATGAGGACACCAGTCTTATTGGATTAGAGTCCTACCCTTATGACTTCATTTAACCTTAATTATCTCCTTAAAGGCCCTGTCTCCAAATACAGTCACATTGGAGGTTACGGCCTCAGCATATGAATTTGGGTGAAACACATCTCAGTCCATAACAGTCTCTGTGTTATGTTTGTTTTATATTCAATGTCCAGCATACAATAAAAAATTATGAGGTATGAAAATGTAGCCAGTAATTGGGAGGGAAAAAAACAATAGAAGCCAACCCACAATATTATCCAGATATTGAAGTTAACACACAGGGACTTTAAATATTATAAATATGATAAAGAAAATAGAAGAGAAGATGGACAAAATGGATAAAAAGATGGGGAATTTCAACAGGGAATTGGAATCTATTTAGAAAAAAATAATGTGACATTCTAAAATTGAAAAATATATCTAAAACTAAGAATTTATTGTATGGGTTTAACCTACAGAGGACAGGCTTGGTGAATAGAAGACAGGTCAATAAAAGATATCCAAACCGAAGGAGAATGAGAAATGAGAATGGAAGGAGAGAAGAGAGAGGGTAAGAGACAAGTGGAACACAGATAATCTAACATATGTGAAGGATCAGAGAGAGAAAATGAGGCAGAGGCATTAGGTGAAGAGAGAACAGTTGAAAGAATTTTCCAAAACAAATGAAATATACCAACTCTCAGATTCAAGAAACTCAGTAACCACAAGCAGGATAAATACAACATACCTAGGTACATCACAAGTCAAACAGTTGAAAACAAAAGATAATGAGAAAAAGCCCAAAGGCAGCCTCAGAAAATGGACAAATTACCTATTAATAAGCAACAATAAGATTGATGGCCAAATTATGGAATCTAGAATATAATAGAATGGTATGTGTGCAGTGCTTAAAGAATTAAAACCTGCCAACCTAGAATTCTATATCCAGGGAAAATATCCTTCGAAAATGTAGGTAAGGGGCCGGCCCTATGGCTGAGTGGCTAAGTTTGCGTGCTCTGCTTTGGCTGCCCAGGGTTTCACCAGTTCGGATCCTGGGTGCGGACATGGCACTGCTCATCAGGCCACGTTGAGGTGGTGTCCCACATGCCACAACTAGAAGGACCCACAACTGAAAAAATATACAGCTTTGTAGTAGGGGGATTTGGGGAGAAGAAGCAGAAAAAAAAAAGATTGGCAACAGTTGTTAGCTCAGGTGCCAATCTTAAAAAAAAAAAAAAGTAGGTAAAATAAAGACATTTTTTAAAAAGAAATTGTGGAATTTTAATATAACCACTTAGCTCTCAGTGAATGCATCTAAATATTGTGCAACAGCTGCTAACGTCACAAAAAAAAAAGGCAATTAGACATTATGTGCTTCCTGATGGAAAAATAACACTACCTGTAGTCTTGCAAAACAAAACAACCCTGTTTTTGTAGGCCACAGAACCCATGATCTCCTCATACTTAGAGTTGGCTAGAAGCCACACGGTTTCCACATGGGCTGTGGTTGGTCCTGGATCCC